TGCATCTGTCATTCCAAAATTCCCTCAGAGTAAAGCTATTCCAAATATTCTAGAAACTGGGAGGAGTTTTAAATAACATTTTAGACCTATCCACTCCTTCGAGGTAAATTTTCCAACAGTTGAGTTGACCAAAGCAATCAGGATTAATTCTGGTTAGCATTGTACAAACACAAGTGTTGTTGTAAATGAAAGTATTCAGGTGAACTATAGGAACATAAGAACAGTCCAGCTAAATCATGCATCTAATATAATCTGCTCATCTAATCCAGGATTCTCCATTTTCATGATCAACCAGACATCTTTGGGAAATTCCAAAGTATGAAAAGCAGCATGAAAGTCCTCTTCCATTGTCTCTTCTCAGCAACTGGTTTAGTGAATTAGAGATTGGCCAAATATGTTAAGGACATCCTGTTAAATCCTACTCTGGAGCCCATGTGGCACAGTGGTTAGAATGCAGTATTGCAGATGAATTCTGCCCACAGCCAGTAATTTGATCCTAATCGGCTCAAGATTGATTTAGCCTTCTATCCTTCCAAAGTTGGTAAAATGAGGACCTAAATTTGGGACAATATGCTAACATTTGTAAACCACTCAGAGAGTGCTGTAAAGCACTACGGAATGGTATATTAATCTAAATGTTATTGCTTTTACTACTTGCACAAATACAACTTTTCCATAAAATACTCACTCCAAGTCTGGAATTATTCTTTTGCATGGGAAAAATCTGCAAATTTTGTGCAAACAAGACACTCTTATTTTTTCTTCATGTAAATATAATTATGCAAATCATTGCATGTAGTTACAGATTAGGTTCATTTACATCAATTCATCTTGACTTGTTTGTTCAAATTCATATTGCTTGATTCCTATTATGTGTTTTTGTTTATTATTTTGTGGAAATTGAAGGCTTGGATGAAGTATGTTATTCTAACAGGAAGAAAAAGAGAAACCGAGTAAGTGACAAAAGTGAATAATTATAGTTAGCTTCATTAGTCAATAAAGGCAGAAAAACATACATTTCCTAATATTCTATCCTTCTGAACTTATTCAGTTCAGGAAACATAATTTGTGTGTCAAAATGGTTTTGATATGAACCTGCTGTGCAAATAACAGTGTAGTAATTAAGTTCACACACTGAGCTAAAGTATGTCTTACTTTGCTGTGGTTCACTGAACAAGGTAAAGACAACAGCTAAGTTCACATGCCATGTAAAGGATAAACCATGGTTTACAATCGAGAGAGATTGAACTCCCATATGCAAAACTTTTGGTTAAATGCTTTTTCGTACCATTGGTTGATCATGTACAAAAACAATCATTAGAAAAGGGATTAAAATGTTCAAACTCTGCAACACTGCAGTGGTTGTAAGTGTGAAGTGTGGAAACCATTCACAAGTTACTTTTTTCAATGCCTTTGTAACTTCAAATGTCATTAAATGGTTGAAGACCACCTGCAGTTAATCACTCAGAAATACACATAGCAATCCTTGACCTACTAGGATAACTGAGCCTGGAATTACTGTTATAAATTGCAGTGGTTGTTAAGCAGTCACCAGGCAATCATGCCATATTTTACCTTTTGGGGAGGCAGTCATTAAGCAAATGCAGTGGTTGCTAAAAGAAGCCGTTTTCTCCAATGGCCATTTTTTGCTGGAAATCAGAAATAAAACAGGAAAAACCCACAAAAACCGTGGTCATGTGATCACAGGATACTGCAAACAGCCACAGATGCAAACCAGTTACCAAAATGCAATCACAATGACTTTGGGAAAGGGTGCGGCCATCTCTTCTTCAAAATCAGATCATAAATAGCTTTGGGGAAGTCCATCATAACCTCAAATGATCACTAGCAAACATTGATAAACAAAGACTACTTGTGCTTAATCTCATAAATTATTCCATAGAAATCTCCACTAGTGCAGGGGTCTCCAACCTTGACAACTTTAAGACTTGTGGACTTCAACTCCCAGAATTCCTCAGCCAGCAAAGCAAAGCTGGCTGAGGAATTCTGGGAGTTGAAGTCCACAATTCTTAAAGTTGCCAATGTTGGAGACCCCTGCACTAGTCAAACCAGGCTCAAAGATTACACCTAGGCCACAACTGGGGATGGACTTCTTTCGTGCTTCTTGTTCAAAATAATTTGAAAAATATTGTCCTGAGCAAGAGCATTTTAAAAGCACCAGAGGAATCCATTGACAGATAGTTTGCTTCTAATCTTTGAAGTGTCTTAGGAACCTAGGATTTTACCTTTTGACAGAAAGCAATCTTGTGCCATAATTTTTTTTGGACATGATAGAAATGTTATGCATAAGTGTTTCAGAGCTATGATACAGCAATTGAAGCATGAGTTAATTCTTGTGAATTAGTTTATTTTATGAGTAGGGCCTTTGTTCAACTATCAAAAGGATTTCTAAGAAGTAGTACTTACACTTGAGTCTATTTATTCAAACCAGAGAAAAATATTTTTTTTAAAAAAACATGATTAAGCAGAGAAATCTGGCTGGCCATAAACAAAAGCAGATCTCTTTATTTAAAATTAACTCTATGCTGCCACAAAAAAAAAAACCAAAAAAACCCCACAAAAACCCTTTGGCAGCTTCCATAGAAATCATTTGAAGGAATGTACCCAAGCAAACTTTAGGATTCAATATTCTCCATCCTTTGTATCCCCTTAGAAAGATTAAAAGTTTTCAGTTTTTTTTTTTCATTCAACTATGGGCCAGCATTATTTCATCTGAGCTCAAAGTGGTTCATTAAGGCAAACTAGCTGAATAAACCAATGCTGGCAGTGGTTTTATTCAAAACCTGGACAGGCTAATTTGTTGGGCCTGACCCAACTTGAGCATTTAGGAAAGAAAAACCTTTGACTCCATTTGTAGAGAAAAGGTATGCTTTTATTAAAGCCAATTGGTTACAGCATATGCAAAGCCAGATCTGAATACTCCTGCATAAACCTTCTGATTTTCCACTTTCCCAGATCCTCTCAGCCCCCCCCCCCTTCATCATTTGATCAGTGTCTAATACTATTCAAATTAGCAGTTTGGGTAACAGTTCTAATGATTGGCGCCTCTTCGATGGATGTTTGCATTCCATTCTCACACTTATATCCTTGGATCTCTTTGTCTGTTGCTTTGGATTGGCACCTCTGGTTCCTATCATCATCATCTCGGTGTTTCCTCCCCATTCCCCCCCTCCCTTTTTATGGCAGGATGCTATCAATGCAAAGTGAAGATGAAGGGGGTGGATGGCAGATCTTCTATCAATGATATATCAATGCATATAAATATATTGCTGAACACTGGTTAAACCATGGAACGTCTCCTATTTTGTGTCATGCTTCAGGATTTATGACAGGGTCATACATGAGATTCACCTAAGGCTCATTTCCGTAATGGGAACCATAGTTTACAGATGTGAAATTACATCCAGTGCCCCCCTTTCTAAGATTCCCTTTTCTACCTGAAGTTAAGGTTAAGGTCCAATTGACCAGTTAAGGTCTCAACTGATCTTAAAAAACAACAAGAACCTAGGCAAGATGTATTCCCTTTTTCCCCTTTGTTTCTGTCTTCAGCAGGAAACAGAGAGGGACTGAGACATTAAAGCTGCAGTGTTCTGCATGACTGTTCCAATTGAATTCAGGGCAGCTTACATCTGGGTAAATACACATACGATCAAGTGACAAACTAAGAATCTGTTTGCTAAGGGAGGATTAATGCATAAAGAGTGTAATTGAATAGCTGCTGCAACAGAACCAGAAAATTGTTGACAATTGTACAGGTGAGACTGGTCAGAGGGCAAGGTGTAGAAATGGGGTTCAGGTTTGTTTAAGAGGAGCTACCTGAGTCTCTATTGGCAGGAGGATTAGGTGAATCAGTCACAGAAATAGCAGGGCGGTTTCTTCCTCTTGTTAAATGCTAATTGTTCTCTCTTCACAAGGAGGAAAAAACACCTTATGCTTATATGCTAAATTTTGCAGCAGGAAGAGAAAAACGGGAATCTACATTTTGCAGTCACAACAAGGTCTGCAAGAGGAAAAAAACCAAGCTTAGTACATGTGGTGCTGTGTTCACCATTTGTGCTTTGGATAGGGATGGAGGAAAAGTAGAACAAGGGGGGAAATCTTATCAATTTTTGTGTATGAGAGAGCAAGGTTCATTCAGTTACTACATATTGCTGTGCAGAAGTCGAAAGCCAAGATTATCCAATCTCTAAGGATTTAGATCATGAAATCACAGCCTTGTTTCTAGGATATCAGGAATTAGGAGGCTGAGATCTTTTAGTGGGACTGCAATGTAAGACAAAGCTAAGACTAACTCAGCAAAATAGGGGATAAGGCTTAGTTGGTATTCTTTTCAGACATGGGTTGTTGGCCAAAGAGGAGAGCTTGATTGGAGTTAATATTAGTCTAGATAAATCCTCACAGACATGGCTATACAGCAAAATAAAGGTCAAAATCTGGAAAACATTTTTCCTTGGTTCCCTGGATCCTTTTGTTAATCATTTGTTCCCTTCATAACAGATCCTGGAAAGGAAGACAACTCTGTATCCTGTTGTGTGAGACAGTCCAAATGGACATAAGATTAATTTCTTAGTAAGCCTCTATCAGGTTGTGCTTTGAAACAGGAGGAAATCTGTCATCTTCAAATTTTGCACCATGATTTGCAGAAGAGAATTAAAAAAAACTATATTTCAATTTTTGTCTGGGATTTTAGAATCACATCTATATAAATTATTGGGTATTTAAAAACCTGAGTTATGGTTAAGGAATTATTCATGAAAAAAGGCTATAATCTGTGGAAAAGCAAAGCAAAAAGAAAGTAGCTGTGATTAAGAAATACAGATACCATCTGATAAGGAAATAGAATTCTGCCCCTCCATATAACTGAAATGCTTTGATCACAAACCCTATGGTGATTTAATTTCCTTGGGAGTTATTTTAATCAGGATGCCTGAGTACTGATTTGACTATTTTTCTTTTCTCATAGCTACAGCCCTATGAAGGGGATGATCTGGAGATGAAAACACAGTCCCCAAAACTGCATTGCTGATGTTTCCTTGGTTCATGGCAAGAGAAGGACAGTCTTCCCAGGGATGGGTAACCATGAAAAAGAACCATTATCTCCTAAAAGGGCACTACCCCCTTCCCGGTCCAATAGCACTGTATCTTCCAAACACAGCATTGCTTGGCAGGTGTGGATCCTTTTGACAGAGTGTCTACAAAACTGATCCCTACATGTCCCTGGGATTGGGGGAGGAACTCGAGATCAAATGTGTGACCAGATATACCTGTCTACTTCGCTTGGGTTAAGGGGGTGTGTTGGGGTGGGAAGCTGGGCTGAGTATTTTATGGCCCACAGGCCACACCTGACCCTTCAGTTATCCCTGGCAGGGCAGGGGAGCAGCATTGGGATGCAGGACAGCATCGTTGGCCATGACAGTCCATGTTTCTCATGTGGTTCCTGGGGAAAATTAATTATCCATTCTTGTTCTAAATTTTATTAAATAGTAATTCCTAATGTTGCCTGTATTGTTTGTATTTTGTAAGACTGTTGAAAGTGGTAATTCAACTCTGTTCAAGGGTCTGTACACTCCAGACTGCAATACTGACAAAGTACATGGTCTTGAACTCTTGCTGGCAGTGATAAGGGGCTGCAGGATAGTGAGGATAGTGCCTGGATAGTTATAACCCAAGTCACCAAAGATTTCATTTTGGATGAAAGCTCCCTTGTTTCTGATCTTTTTTTCTTTTTCTTTTATATAGAGTTCTGAGAGCTGGGAAGTGATAGATGATTTGCACATCCATAGTGGGGTCAGCCCGCAGCCAGAAAGGCAGGAGGGTTATCTGCTAAAGAAGCGAAAATGGCCTTTGAAAGGCTGGCACAAGGTATGGTCTCAGTAAAGTAGCAGGATTAGTATTTCCCTCCAAAGATTCAAGGGTGGGGATGAACTACAGCTTTGCTCCTTGTTATCCTGAGTTGTCCCTACTTGTCTGCTATTCCCAGTGGTCTGAATTAAATAACTGTAGTACTAAATTAACAACTCCCATTTCCAAGCCACTCTGGCTCTCCTAAACCATGGAGATAAATAAAGTGTTGGTCTCCCAAATATTTGCTGGCTGCTGCTGTGAATTCTAGGAGCTGCACTTCACTCTATCAGGAAACTGATAAATGACAGATAGTTCTTTCAAGAGTTTTTACAAGGATTGTTGCCATAATATATGTGAATTATTTTGCTTTGCTTTGGGGTTACAATTTTAGGCATACTTAGCTGTGAGTAAATTCTTAATGGAAGTTAAGGGGTCTTATTTCCAAGTATTACAAATTCCAAGTATTTTCAAGGTGTCATACCAAGGATTAAACTCTGCTGCAATTGATTGAGATCATTCTGACGAAATACAGGGAGTTGTCGCTTAAGAACACTGGGACTTCCAATCCTTATATGGCATAGTTGTAATTAAAAAAAAAATGACTACATCACTTAGCAGTGGTATCTCCAGCAAGCCAGATTGCTGTTATTAAACAAGGATTACACAGGTCGTTGAGGACCTTATGTAACCTTACGTTGTGACTTTTTTTTTTTTGAAAATTTTATTTGGGTTTTCCACAAAAACAAAATACAAATAAAACATCTTTTTTTGGAAATAGCATGGTCCCAGGTTATCACTTCTTCATACAGACACAAACTCAATTTCATGCTCATTTTTATGTTCTATTCCATATCTTATTACTGTTTTATATTTTCTACATATTTTTCCCCTCTTTTAATTTTCTCAACTTTATTTTAATTATCTCATCTCAATTTAAATCATTATATTTATCCTTTTGTCTGTCCTGTTGCAATTTCATATTATCTTTTCTCATTAAACACATTTTCCCCTGAAGTTACTAATTGGAGTATGACACCTTTATATCTTTTAATTTTATCCATTCAAACTCTTATTTAAGCTTCAATGTATACCTTTAAGATTATAGCATTCAATATAATACATAACTTCCAATCGAATTTTGCTTGGTACATTCTTAAAATACACACTATATTCTTAAAAAGAAAAGATTATATATATATATATGTAAATAAATCACACATTCCCTTCCAATTCAATTCTATCATTAATATTCATTAAAATCTTAACATCCTTAACATTTCTTTTCAATTAAATATCATACTTCCTTGGGAACACTTATAAACTTTCCATAATTCTTTTTTTCCCATATTTCTCACTTATACTTTTATAAATCATTAATAATAATTAAAATGTTCCCATCCTTTCCTAATTTAATTATCTCATTCACTTTAATTCATTTATTTATTAACAAACATTCCACTACATTACAGTGAATATTTTATCAATCATTTTAGTCATATTTTCTAAAATTATTTCTATTTGTAATATAACAATGCTATCTTATGTACCTTTGCAGAATCCCTTTTACAATTAAATTTTCACCCATTATCTCTAAACAGGCTTATGGTTTCAATCCTTATATCTTTTCCCTGTTTCTCTATATCTTGTTTCTGTCTTTTACAACTTCTTTTCCTTACCTTCTTCCCACTCTTCTTCCTCCTCCCCCCTTTATCCCCTCGTCTCTCTACTTCTAATTCTCTCATCTGTAATCCCCTCTTCTGTTGCTTTCTAAAGTTATACTTATCTTTCAAACTCTTCTTCTTTTTGGTTGTTTTTTCTAGTCTTAAACCTTTCACTCTCTTTCTCCCATTTCCTTCCCCGCCCCCACTTAAAATTATTTGATCATTAAAGATGGCTTCTTCTTTGTCCCGATCTTCTTGTTCTGCAAGCGTTTATTGTTGTTTCTCATAGTTCCACATCTCCATATCTAAAAATTGAAATACGAAGCCAAAAGAAGCTCTCCCTTCTTGTGCATCTTCTTTCCATTTTTTAAGTTCCATTTTCAGTTCTTCTAAGAGTGATGCCATTTTAAACACTTTTAATCAACCACCCAATTAGTTTTAGTCATTTAAATGCAAAAACCAAAAATCACCAAGTAATCCAAATAATCCAAGGCTGTTTCTCTTGCTTCTTTTTTCCACTTTCTCTTCCTGGGGTTCTATTATTTTGTTGCCAAGTTTCAGTTAGGATGTATCTTTGGGGAATCTTGTTAAAGTTTCATTGTAAGTTCCTTTTAGTTACAGTTCCCTTCCTTAGTTCCAGGCAGTCTCCTCCATTTTTCCAGATCCTACCCTTTTATTCTTTTTTTTCTCCTTTCCTGCTTTTAAAAACTTTTAAATATCCAGAAATCTTTATTATCCCTTTGACTTTTATTTTCAGTTTAAATGCCTATTAATGTCAAAGTGGATTTTTTTTTTCAATTTCTTGCTTAAGTCTCTTAGCTGTCAGTATATGAAAGGGAAGGAAAAAAACCCTAATCCTTTCCCTTTTTTCTCTGTCGCTGCTTCAAAATCTTCTTTGAGAACAATGGTATTTAGTTTAAATTCCAGGGTACCTTACGTTATTGCTTTTTCAGTTTAACCCAGTTGACCAAAACTTTCTCTTCTTATCTTCCTCCCGCACATTCTTTTCCGGTTCAGTTCTTCTTTGAGGTGGCCATTTCTGACCACCGCTGCTACCGCCTTCAGGAAAGGGTGGTAATGGCCAGCTGGGGAAGAGAGATACCGTTCTCCTCGACCCTGCTGGCAGTCTCCCCCCTCTTCACCACCTCTATGGGGTGGCCTGGCCCCGAAACCAGCCGGCTCGGGGCGCTCCGGCGGTGAGCACAGATCGAAACCGTGCACGATCACGGATTTCGGTCTGTGGCCGAAGAGACTCAAGCTGGATGCTCATGACTTCTTCCCAGCTTCCCTATTGACATCAGAATCCAGCAGGAATGGTCATGAATCACAATGATAATAATAAATACTAGCCAGTAGTAAATATATGTAATCCTCGACTTACAACCACAATTGAGCCCTATTTTTCTGTTATTAAGTGAGATATTTGTAAAGCGAGTTGTGTCCCATTTTATGATCTTTCTTGCCTCAGTTGTTAAGAATCTAGGTCTGTGAAAATAAATTATAATAAATGTAGCCTGTTTTATGAAGTTTAACAAGTACAATGTTCAAAGTTCAAAGTATAGAGATTTTTTTTTAATGGAATATTTAAAGGATGTTGAGCAACAGGTCAATTTTACAATTGTCTCAGAACAATCATCTAAAAATGAACAGCAATGTAAGCAGCAATGTTACATGAATGTTGTTGGCTAAACTCAAGGGTGAAATTAATTTTCAGGGGAAAAATACCTAAGCAGGACAAAAGCTTGTGTTTAATAACCAATATTAATATTTATTTACTTTATGTATATCCTGGGGTGGCGCAGTGGTTAGAATGCAGTTCTGCAAGTTAGTTCTGCTGGCTGCTGGCTGCCAGCAATTCAGCAGTTTGATCCTCACTGGCTCAAGGTTGACTCAGCCTTCCATCCTTCCGAGGTTGGTAAAATGAGGACCTAGATCATTGGGGGCAATATGCTGACTCTGTAAACCACTTAGAGAGGATTGTAAAGCACTTTAAAGAGGTGTATAAATCTAAGAGCTATTGCTATTGCTATTGCTATCTCACCTTTAATATTTTTATAAATAATTCAAGGAGCTCACACAATACTCCCTTCATTTTATTTTCCCCACAACAATCCTATGCCTTGGATTTTGTCAGTCACTTGGAGACAAAGTGACTGGCCCAAAGTTATCGAGCCAATTTTCATGCCTAAGGCAGTACCTAGCATTCACAAATCTCCTGGCTTCTAGCCTAGTGCCTTAACTACTAGACCAAATATTGACTGCTGGAAAGATGGAATATGCATTCTGAACAATGGCATGACTGGTGCTTAGAATTTTGATTGGAAATACTGAACAATAAATAAATAGTAAAAAAATTATTTATTCTATTTATGCTATGGGTCATATTAAACATCATCATGTTTATGATCTCCATTTTTAATCAACAATTTAAATCAATTTTTTCAATTGGTGGACTACAACTTCTAAAATTCTCAGCCAGCATAGTCATTAATTGAGTGGGAAAAGACTAGTCTAAAACTAGTGAGCATGATAAAAGCAATTTTGAGACTGTATTGTTCAACTCTTTCAACTTTTTAAGAAATCTCATATGATGTAGCATTGATTTTATTCCATCAAGTCTAGTACTATTGACTTATTCCTTTCTCTCATTTTTTCTCTCTTTTTCACTCTAAGCGTTATTTTGTTTTGGAAGATGGCATTCTGAAATATGCCACAACACGCCAAGATGTGAGTAATGGGAATAATGGGATTTGGAATAACTGAATGTCATGTACCAATATTTACAGGAATCCTGATGGGGATAAAGGGGGGCAGTTAATTACCAAGAAACTTATTTAAGAAAAGGACTTATATAATTTCTCTGTATAACTACATTTGTGATATTTTCTCTAGGTCTTGAAGGGGAAGTTACATGGCTCCATAGATGTTTGTTTGTCAGTCATATCAGTTAATAAGAAGGCCCAACGTGTGGACTTGGACACAGAAGAGAATATTTATCATCTTAAGGTACATGTAGAATGACTCAGGATGAAAGAACAGAAAAGATCACTATAATTCTCCAATCATTTCCAATTCATCCCTAAGCTCTGGCTTACAATTGCTAAGCTGTTGTTTCTCCATTGTTCAAATTCTGAGAACTGGAATGAGAATGTATGTGATGGAGAAAAGCTTGAACTGACAAGTTGTACCTGAAAACATGTTTTTGCAAAGTCATTGTGCTGGCTACACAAAACATTTCTCCATGTGATGAAGCAGGAAAAGGCTTTGCAGAACAGTAATTCTCTAATATCTAATATACGCCTGTAGAGTACAGCAAATATAGTATCTGCACTGAGCATTTTGTTTGTCACAGTTTATCGTTCTCCTGATTTTTGGTAAAGGATAAAGAGTCCACTTCTGTTCTGTAAAGATGCAATTCAAATACCAACTGAATCTTTAAGGCCCCTTCATGGTAGGGTTATTCATGTATATGCATGCAGGGCACAGCTGACTATATGACATCTTGAAATCTGATCGTATTTGTCCGTTGCTAAAAGCAGGACTTAGCTTCTAAGTTACATTTTCTTGCACTTTTCAAATAATGTAGCAGGTTGATCCTGTATTAATTGGTGGCTGCATATTTTTATTTACTACTATTAAGTATCTGAGGCTTCCCATGGCCTTTGTTTCTGAAATGAGGCAGTTTTTAAATCTTCTATATCAAATAAATACTTAATAACAACTGTTATCTCCACCATAACCATAGCAAGTTACTATCTTTTGTCATTCATAAGAATTTTAAAAAACACAAATTCTTGCCATGGAATCATGTTAAAATGAGGCTCATAATTTCATGCCATTTCTCAAATAAAGGTCTAGAAATCAGTTTTGTGCCTCAGATTTCAAACATTGTCTTCTAACCCCATCTGATTCGTGGTACAATATCCACTGGCAGAGTTGACCCTGTCTTTATATGAATGAAGAAGCCACTTGCAGTTACTAATTTGGGGTATCAGAAGAAGGAACAGATTGTTAGAGTGTTGTTGTCAGAGAGGGGAAATGAAACCTTTGTTATATTTTTCCCCATCTTATAAACATTGGTTTGAGCCGAAGACGCAGTTTGCTGCTGCAACTCAGAATCACAATGTTTCGGACAAATGTTTTTATTTTCTTAACATTTTGCTGTCTTGTCTCGTCTCACTTATTTCAGATAAAGTCCCAAGAGCTATTCAATAATTGGGTTGCAAAGCTGTGCTTGCACCGGCAAGCAGAGAAATCATATGTATCCCGAAGACAGATCATGACTGGTGGTGGCAGAGGCTCTCATCCCACACAAGTGAGTACAGTAAAATAGAGCCTTCTTTCTTGATGGCAAGCATCTCTTCTGAAATGTGATAATGGAGCATCTTAAGTATCCCTCACTGTTTTTGTAGATTGTTGCAAAGAGAGGAAAATTGTATAGCATCTGTCCGAAGAATCGCTTTTTGTAACATGGGTCAAAGTTGTGTAGATTATTCCAAGTGAATAATTCTCCTCTCCTCCCCTCCCTCCCCTCTTCTCCCTAGAATGCCTTTGAGCTCGTCATGGACTTAGAGGCATGGAAAAGAAAAGAAAGAAGTAAATTGGGTGAAAGGTCCTGCTTCTGTTTTTCTGAGAAAGCCAGCAAATAAAACTATATTTGAAGGAGAAAAATTCTCTTGCTGTCTGATAAATTGGGTGGTTTTTAGAAGAGGTAATGTGAAACACCAGAAGTGTGTATGTATGTGTGTATTGTTCTCCATAGAGCTGCTACGAGCGTCCAGGATGGGAGGTGCTCCAGTCTCGGCTCTCACAGGCTGAGCTTGAAATTGAGGAACGCCTCTCTCCATCACGTGGTCCTCTCGGCGTTCCCCAGTTTTTAGCTCAGCCTCGTGGTAGTCAGGCTGCTTTTTCTCAGCTCTTGGCCGATCAGCATTCCTTCACAGATCTCTGTTGAATTGGACCCGAGTTTGTATGGATTTTTCTGCACATTAGCAAGATGCATCTTGGAAATGAGTAATTTTTTTAATGTTTCTGTCAGCTGGGTGGCAGTACCTAGATGAACTTTATTGACAATGAAAACTAAGCAAGTTTGGATGTGGTATTTTAACATCCACCAGGAATTCCTAGGGCTGTTTACTAAAGTGGGACATCAAAACAACAAGTTAAAAAATCTTTGAAGAAGTCACAGCTAACTACTTCTAAACTATTATTAAGAAAATGACATGGAAAATTCTACATAGTCCTTAACTCCTCGCTGGAGTTAAGAAGCATGTTTCTACTGTTGTATTTTATGGAAGCTGATATCAGCATTAGGGTACTATCCAAACTCTGCTTTGAACTCAATTTCTCAGGCAAATTTCTCATGTAGTTGGGAATGTCCTCTATGACAGCGGTCATCAACTGGTGGTCTGTAGACCACTAGTGGCCCACGAGAAAAGTTTGGTGGTCCACAGAAAAATTATTTGCATTTTGTATATTGCACTAAATCAGGGGTCCTCAAACTATGGCCCCTGAGCCGGATATGTGCAATGAATGTTTGTGTTGCTGCAGAGAGTCTTCCCTTTCGGGGTCTTTTTGTGCTGGTCAGAGAGGGGCAAAAGGGTCTGCTTAAGCCTCCTGGTGCTGGGCTTTCGGCGAAGGCTGGAGGGAAGCGCCACTGGTGGCGAACAGCCGGAGGGCCTTGTTCCAGTGGGACTTCATCATGGCCTGGAACTGGCGGACCATCTCAGCCCGCTGATTCTCCAGGCACTGGGACCTGACCTTGCACTCCCGCAGGTTTTCTCTCTGCTTGGAAAGCCTATGCTTGTAGTCCTTAATGAAGTGCTTCTGCTGAGCCTCCTTCTTGGTCAGATCCAATTTGAACTGAGACAGCTATTTTGCCAACTCTTTCTCATGGTAGCTAGTTGGCTCCAACAACTGCTTCCTGTTGGGGCCCTAAGGAGCCCAGGTGGGCAGGCGAGAAGTGGCTGGGAGGGAAGGGGCAAGTAGAGGCACCCCTCGATGTGAGTGAGTTGGCCATGCCCACCCAGTCACATGACTACCTAGCCATGCACACCCAGTCGGTCATTAGGCAGATCATATGAATGGTCTGCGGGATTTAAAATTATGAATTTAGTGGTCCCTGAGGTCTGAAAGGTTGATGACCTCTGTGGTAACCATTTTATGAAAACATCTTTCACAAATTTGCCAGTGTACCCAAGAATTTCACAGGCTGAAGATCCATCCTAGATTCTGAAGTGGAGTGAATTACCCATTTTCTTTGCTTCTAGTTTCCATTCTTCCTATATTGTCTTGCTTCATTCTTGCAGGCTTGCAACTCACGGCGCCACATACTGATTTCAGAAAGTGCCCCTGCCTTATCTTCTCTGGCCAGTCCCCAGGAAAAAGTGAATTCTTGGCTCAGTGACAGCAAAGGACTGGACAGGTGCTCAGCAGGTAAGAATGAAACTTTCTTAACCTCAGAAGGTCTCTCTTAGCTGGTAGTCACAATATTTGAGCCTTGGCTATTTCCAAGCCAGCTTTCATCTTCAGAGATAAGGATATTAGAATATAATTTATCAGAAGAAGTAGATACCTGACAAAGGGATTGACCAATTACTCACATTAATATAGTATCTTTTGTTACGTGTGGACTTACGGAACAGAAGGGCAAGTTCTTCCCAAATCAATTTTCCTCAGGTTTTGGTCACTGAATACTGTAAATTATTGTGGAATTTATCCAGTGAAATATGTTTTCAACATAGATCACCCATTCCTCTTTCCCTTTGCAAATTTCTCCCAGTAGATGTTCTTTTCTAATGGCTGATGTTTTTGTCTGATGTTTTGATAATCCGAGAGAAAAGGCAGTGCTACCTTACAATTTCATAGTCTACTTTTTCTTTTTTCTATTTTTTTTCCTATTTTTTTCCAGAACTCTCAGAATGTCAGGGGAAGCTTCAAGAGCTCAGCCGTATGCTACAAAGTCTGGAATCTCTTCACCGCATTCCCTCTGCCCCTCTAATCTCAAGCAGCCAGGTAAGGTACAGGTGTGTTAGTAGCATTCCTTTTTTCTAAAGTTTTACATTAAAAAAGTTATTTAAGCAACATATTTGGTCAAAGGCTCCAAGGTTACTTTCACACTACTTAGGGCCATTATGAGTCATGCTGTAGTAACAATTACAAAAACAGAGCATTCTTGAGATTAGATTATGATTAGCATTTTGATTTGGAATTTATCTTTGATGGTTGTACAGTTTGAGATTGCATCTTGATTTTACAGACCTCAACAGGAACAGAAAGACCCAGAAAGGCAAAGAGATCGACGCGGATCTGGTGCACTCAGAGCTTTGCAAAGGATGACACCATAGGCAGGGTGAGATGGTTTGGGGATGGGGTAGACAGCATTTGGCACAAAGGTAGGAGATATAGAGTGAGAAGAGCAATCAATCAGCAATGGAGAGATTCTTTGCTCTGTAAAAAATCCCAAATTCAGATCTCCAGAGAGGGCTGGATGAAGGGCCAAAAGAGTTGCTGCCAATCAGTGTGATCAATAGTGGACCATTGACCACATCCCAAGGTTAGGAAGGGCCACAGTTGATTATGGAGATGAGGTATTTTTCTGGGATAGAGAAAAGAATCGTCTTAAGGAACTGGAGAGGAAAGAATTTGTGATAGGGAAGTTTTTGTGGGTGCCTAAAACCAATTGGTTTTTCTTCTAGCAGGTGGGACGCCTGCATGGCTCCGTTCCCAATCTCTCAAGATATTTTGAGTCCTGTCAGAACCAGGCCATGTTTAGCGTACCTCCAGAGTATAGTCAACTCCAAAGAAGTTTCTGGATCTTAGCTCAGAAAGGTGAGCTCAGTGCAGATATTAATAGTTGTATCAAAAGCTCAGGGACGACTGTCTAATGTTTACTATGGTGTAGGGGGACACACTGATTTCCATGTTGGACTGTGGAGAGGAATGAAGCCATCATTTTATGGATTCTGACTATTTGTTTTCTTCTCTTCTTAAATTCTTCCCCTCTCCGGAGACATATGTTTTATCACAGTCAACCACAGCCATGATCTAGAGAATTCTGATTCCTTTTGTGACCTACCCATTACTTATCTCCAGACATATTGCATTATAATTTCCCTCATATTCTGCCAATAAAGCTATCTAGACTGCATCAGAAAGAGAAAGCAATGTTGTGACTTTAGAGATTTCTCCCCACTTCCTGAAAGTACACTGTCTTTCTTGCTTGCACACAAACATCAAATCCACTCTATCTTATGAGATTTCACTAGGTCTTGATATATTAAGAATAGATACTCTTACATTCCAGAAGTTTTGTATTATAGTTTCTACCATTCTTGCTATTGCTTATACTGGTTGGGATTAATGATGACTGAAGCTCATAATATCTGGAGGCACCATCTTGTCTATTTGAGCATGGATTAATCCCATTTTGATAATTGCAGTCTATAAAATTTGAGGTTCTTCAAGAAAGTTAAAATTCTGAGGATTCCAGAATCTTTTCCTGATACAGAATCCTCTGCATTAATGGAAGATAATGCTGTCTGTAATTTTTGTTGTTGTTGCCAGTTCATGGTTCTCTCAGCAGTGTGCTGGCTGTGCTGACCTCTGAGCGTGACCGGCTCCAAGAATTGCAGCAGTTGTTAGATCTGCAACGTGATACTCTGTCTGCTGCACAGGATGACCCTGGAGATGGCATCAACTCTACTACAGCTGGTGTAAGGGGGTCATGATCCTTTGAAATAATTGTCAAGTGTTGATTTAAGGCATAGCTGAGAAATTCTTACATTCCCCCAGCCCAAATCCAGCACAGGTCATTTTACATGTACTGCAAGGATCTTCCCACTACCCTACTACCATCTTATTTCATATATTTGAAAGAAGTAGTTCTTGGAAAGATGATGATGCCATTCCAACTTTATTTTGTAATACTTGGTGTGGCTTACATAATGTTCCTACCTTCTGCTTGTCCCATAAAAAAACCCCTCAAAACTGTGAGATGGGTTGGGCAGAGAGAAAGCACCTGCCCCACAATCATCACCTGGCCTTGCTTACAGAAGGACTAGAACTCAGTGCCTGGTTTTAATCCACCCCCTTAACTAGGGATAGATGAGGATAACTACCACCAAACTGGTAAAAAGTTCTACCATTCATAGCAAATGTATTTAATCCCCTGCATGTGACTGTCTGAGTGCTTTAAGTCAGAGCTCAATTTCTTCACAGTTTAGGAAATGATCAGTACCCTGTTTTAATTTATAACCCTTAACACTTAACTTCCTCATTTCCCCTGTGCCAAAATAACAATCTTTTTTTATTCCTCCCAGGCTTCTCTTCAGACTCTTGACAATCCTGAATGTATACGCCGCTTTCATTCTCTCTCCATCTCCTCAGATACCACTCTGGATTCTTTTGCCTCATTCAGTGCTGATGAGGTAAAATTTTCCCTAAGTGAAAAGTAATTTGAATTGTTTTACAGCCAGAAATCACAGGACAGTTGATGTATCTCTAGCATAATCACTGTGTATTAACACATAAATGCTTCCTTAGGCTGCATGAGAAAAGTATGGTGAGCAGCTAAGAGAATTATCACAAGGGAAACAGCTTCTGTCCTATTTTATGGCATCTGACAGTTATTGTACCTGTCCAGAGTCATAGTATTGAGATAAGTGGTTATATAATTTCATTTAAATTAAAGTATAAAAATAAATAGACCCTGTTGCTGTTGGAATTGGGTATTTTCTTGTCTGAGAAGTAGTGAAGGGAACCATGGAAGGAGTTTTGTTTTTTTAATGTTATGATCATCCTCTGTAAGTACTGATACAAATTGGGAGTCAAGTTCCAGTCTTTTCAGCCTGAAAAGGCTGAATAAATTCTTTGTTTTGTTTATTAGACTTTTGTGTTACACCAGTCTTAAAATTGACTCTGAATGATATACATACCAAATCTGGTAATCAGATTAAAAACACTATACATAAGTAATGTGTATATTAGGTAGCAGGAGCAGATGGGATTTTTTTGTTAACAGTTCTTGAAATATCACCTTGTCTTATGGCATGGCCTAAATTATGTGACAAATCTTTTAGAAGGTGAGAAGTTTGATAACAAGAAGCTGGTGAAAATAATTCTAAAAGAGAAGAGCACATTTCTTTCAAAAGAGACTGCTGAACAGGAAAAGGCATATGTGAAGTCTGTATAGATAAAAATTCAGCAGCATAAAAAAATACTGCTTTGCAGGAAGATGTTTCTTTGAAACAGTTTTTAACACCTTTATTTAAATTTTGAGAAATGTTGCAACACTTTTATTATAGTTTCCTCTTTGGGAATCATAACTGATTGCAGGAAATACGACTTCAGCAACAGAGTGGTCAATGTCTGGAATACTCTACCTGATTCTGTGGTTTCTTCCCCAAACCCCAAAAATGTTAACCTTAGACTGTCTACTATAGACCTCACCCTTTTCCTACGAGGTCTGTAGGGGGCGTGCATAAGCGCATAGCGTGCCTATCGTCCCTGTCCTATTGTTTCATTTTTTATTTTTCTTATATGTATCCATTTCATGTATCCATAACTATGTTTATACTCATACCTGTTATCTTATAACTGATTGACTAAATCAAACAATCAATGAATCAATCAATCTGGCAACAGCTCTTCCCTCTCTCCCCCAAGTTCTGCCTTCTGAGGCTTGGCCACTTGGCAGAGAGGCTGCCATCTGAAATGGCAAGAAAAAAAAAAGAACGCCTGAGAAAGGGTTTTTAGGGTTTTGTTCCATTCCACTGCCTCCCTTCCCCCTCCTTTTTCCTGATGGGACAGTTTCTAATGGTTGAATTCCACCAAATCAAATGGCTCCTAATTGTTTTTGCAGCTTTACTTGGTTTTCCTAGAAATGGAGGAGAAAACGTATCAATTTTAAAAATAAGTGAAAAACGAAATGTATACGAAAGCATGATGTTTCAGTTCCAATCCATCTGGAAAGGACTGGAGCAAAGAAGGATGAATTAGATCAGTGTTACTCAACATCAGCAACTTTTAAAATATGTGGAATTTCAACTCCCATATTTCTCTAGCCAGCCAGGCTTATTGCAGAACTGTGGAAGCTGGTGTAAACACATGTTATATATGCTGGCTGGGGAATTCTGGGAGTTGAAGTCCACACATTCTTAAAGTTGCTGAGGTTGACAAACACTGATTTAGATTGTACCTCGATACAATAAAACATTTTTTAAAATGAAGATTTTTTTTTATTCCTTGTTTCAGCCAGACGCTCTGCTGGTTAAAGGGCAGAAGCAACAGCTCTCAAACTGCAGCATTGTCTCTCTTTCGGATTCACATACTGAGTTCTTCGATGCCTGTGAGGTATTTCTGTCAGCCAGCTCATCTGAGAATGAGGTTAGTGACAATACCTGTGAAAAGTTTGCATTTCAGGAAGTCTTTTTGGGAGGAGACATCTGGCTGAGAATTTGCATGCTTTCCTCCCTTGTTGAGAGGGGCTTGTCTGTTTTGGGCTGCTCTGAACAGACCTATGAAAATTCAGCATATAAATCAACTTGATGAGGTTATTCATAGTGAGCAGATGATGCCCAATCTTTATGGGAAGTCTCAGCAACAGGTGGAAATCTGGCTAGTAGAAGGAACCCTGCAGCTGCACAGAATTAGCTGTGTTTTTAGAGGCCATGTAAGGGAGATGTCATCTCAAGGGAGTTGTCATCTTAAGCACACTTCTATTTCTGAAAGTTGAAAATTGAGGTGCAATTATTTGCACAATTCTTGCTGAATTTGTTATAATATACCGAGCTGCAAGAGCTTAGGGTCAGCTCAGGGCAATAGTGTGGACAGGTTTTTAGTGAATCATTTGCCCCATCTGCTGTCAGCTAAGAAATAGCTTATGCCTAAATGTGCAATTACATTTAGCAATTGAGTACCTAAAGTTTATTGCATATGCAGTGCCTCTCAGCTATAGTTTAGCTGGTTGTTTTATTATTTGTTAGAAATGATTGGTCAGGTTAGCCTTAATCTAAGGCCAAAGGGATGACTTCATCAGTGGTGGAATTCAATTTTTTTTACTACCGGTTCTGTGGGCGTGGCTTGGTGGGCGTGGCAGGGGAAGGGTACTGTAAAATCTCCAGTCAGAGGTGGTATTTGCCAGTTCTCTGAACTACTCAACATTTCCGCTACTGGTTCTCCAGAACTGGTCAGAACCTGCTGAATACCACCTCTGGATTTCATGTTTCTTATAACATAACAATGTATTCTGTTTTTTTAGATTAATGTGATCATCACTTCTCTCTATTTTTTTCCCCATTTCTCTTTCTTCCTTTTGTCAACTAGTCAAGAGCCAAGCCACTCCCCTCTTCCCCTAGCAGCTGACCTTCCCATTCTCCAATCAGTTAGCACCACATACCCAAAACCCTACCTGTTGTTTTCAGCACCTGCCCCTCCTGGTTCCCTTTTTTGATTGGAAAATGCCAGCTTAGCAGAATCCAGGCCTTTTTGCTTTTCCTGACATTACCATCTTTTCTCACTTGGAAATAAATCTAGATTCTTGAGATAAAATTAGGATCTATTCCTATGTCTCTGGGACATGCTGCTCCTAAAGAAAACAGAAGGCACTTTTCTGCCTTTCAGAGGCCTCTAGACTGTATTGTCCTACTTCTCAGGAAGCTCCACGTCCAATCTTTACTGTAGTGTTTCTCTTTAATCTCTAAGTCCTCAAAACAGCCAGCATTTCAAAAAAAGAATATTGGAAGCATAAGGTTATGTAACTTTTAAATGTTTTAACATATGTTTATAGCTCCAAATTTGATACCAATTATCATAATTTAAATACAAATACTTTATATGCCCATTTTGGATTGAGCAGAGAAAGAACTGCGATCATCCATTTGTCATCTAAATTTTATATTTTGGCAGTTCTAGGGCCTGTATTCTCCCTTACAGTTCCTTATCTTTAAACATTGACTTACCCTTCACACTTCTTCAGGTATAAGACAGCCCATTTATTATTTATTTATTTGTATGGTTTTTCTTATAGTCATCCATCTCCCACAAGTTAGTCTAGATGATTTTCAAGGATTAAAAGATATAAATATTGACAAAATATCCTCAGTTCTGTGGCTAAATAATAACTTATGAGGTATTTCTCTTATTAGTATCTCTTCATACATTATTTTTTCCTGTTTTAGCTTTGGTTTTATAATTTTTAATTCTTAATAATTATTATCAATTGTTTTAACTAATTATTGTCTTGTTTATTTACTGCTTTTACTGTATTGTTGTAGGCTGCCCGGAGTCACTTTTTGTGATATGGGAAGCCCTATAAACTTGATTAATAAATAAGTAAAATCCAGTCATAGAAAAAACCAATAACAGTGCTCATCTAACTGCCCAATACAAATGCTTAGGGAAAATTAGATATATGCTCTATTTAAATTTGTATCAAGGAGAAGCAATCTTACTTAGCACAGTCTTCAGCTTTTATATTGAGCATTTTATGGTTATGAATTAAATGAAATAGTTCTCTTACTCTTTTACTTTTTTATATAGAGACAAGAAAATATCTTGCTCTCTACGAATCATTCTTTAGAGCTTAAAACTTGTGTTAATGAGATTCCTGTGTGATTGGTGGCTATAGGCAGGATAGTATCTGCCTCACCTAGGCAATATTTTCCTCGTCATAAACTTATTAAAGAATGGATCCATAGGAGATCCATCCTTCAGTGTCCTCTCAGTTTGTGGTCCTGCCTCAGTTTCCCAACATAGCAACCTTGTTCCCTCCTTCCTTTCTTCTTGCCCATTTTTGCTTTTTCCTGGTAGCTCCCTATTTGCTGTGGTCTCTGTAACCTCCTGTTGCTCCTCCAGGCCACGGATGATGAATCCTGTGTCAGTGAAGTCACCAACAGTATCTCAGAGGAGATGGTGGATATGCCAGGAAGTTCTGACCGTTATCACAAAGGTACTTGATCCAAGGAATGGGCAAGTGTGTGCCTATAGGGGGAGAAACCTCCATAGGGAGCTGGGGTTGAAAGATAGGACAGGGGGAATTAACATGTTTTCCAGTAATAATGGGATTTCAGCTTTCAGAAATAACAGTCCACTAGCCATGCTGGCTGGAAATTTTTCAAATTGTCATTCCAACATGTCATATGAGTGTCAGATTATGGAAAGTTAAGTAAAGATGAACTTTCTGTGACCTGACTCCGTCATGAAGTGTTGAAATTGTGATTCCAAAAATAAGGTTGGTTTAAAACAAACATTGGAAGGTAAATTAGAAATGAATGCAGATAGGAAAGGATCTTACTATATCTTCTTCCTTCTGGTTTTCCTTCCATAACAAGTGATGTGTAGAAGTTATTATTGTAAGATAAAGCGATGAGCTGTGTTATATGAGTTTGGCTTGACTGAGCAGATTCTTAGATGATTTCTTTCTTTAGGCTGGTAATTTGTGTGTCTGTGTGTGCACGTATGCATACATATGTACACGCACCTTTGAATAAGTCTTGACTTCTGGCCATTGCCTGAATGAATCTGTATAGTTTTCCTGACAACGTTTTCAGAAATAGTTGCCACTGTCATTTCCTAGTTGCCACTTCCTAGCTCTAAGAGAGAGTGATTATCCATCCAGGTGAGTTCATTCATAGGCTACTAGTTTTAGTCTATGCATTTATCCACTATAACCCAAGTTCATAGAATCAAAGGGCTGCAAGGGACCTTGAACGTCTTCTAGTCCATTCCTCCTGCCCAAGATAGGAGACTTTGTTGCATCCTGGACAAATTGCTGTCCAATTTTTCTTGAAGATCTTCAACGATGGAGTACCCAAAACTCCAGGGGGCAAGCTGTTCCATTGATTAATTGTTCTTACTGTCAGGAAATTTCTCCTTCGTTCCAGAGTGGATCTCTTTTTAAAAGCTTCTACTGACTGCTTCTTGTCCCGTCCTCAGGTGCTTTGGAGAATAAGTGGAATCACTCCATCCTGTGGCAGCCCCTCAAATACCTGAAGAAAGCTACCATATCACCTCTAATCCTTCTCTTTGTTAGGCTAGACATAACTATTTCCCTTAACTGTATATCCTATGGTTTAGGTCCCTTATCATGTTTGTGGCTGTTCTCTGCATTTTTTCTAGAGTCTCGGTGTATTTTTTTGTATTGTGGTGTCCAGAAGTGGTTGAAAATATGGGTCTCATGAGGGCAGTATAGATTAATGCTATCACTTCTTGTGATCTTTATGGTATCCATCTGTTGATGCAACCTGTGACTGCATTGGCTTTTTTGGCAGCTGCAGCACATTGCTGACTCATATTTAACTAATGGTCCACTAGGACAGTGGTCCCCAACCTTTTTTGTACCAGGGACCAGTTTCACCCAGAAACACTTTTTCAAGGAGGGGGGGGCAGGGGGGGGAGTGACACTTTTTCAAGGAGGGGGGGGGGGGGAGGAGTCCGAGTTTGGTGGTTTGCTTGCAGACATTTCATTACCTGACTAGATAACATCTGATGTTGTTACCTAGTCGGGTAATAAAACGTCTGCCAGCAAACCACCAAGTTCAGGGAGGCTCAGGACAAGTCCCTGCAGGATGGCTGAGAAGCCCCGCCTCTCAGCCCTGCCTCCCTCAGCCTCATCCCTCAGGTGTCTGCCTTGTTCCTCTCTCAGTCGCTCTCTCGCTCCTCCACCAGCCCAGGAAGAAACTGCTTCAAAGGAGCCGGCAGGGTGGCTTTTCCTGTCGGCGCAGCTCCTCCGAAGTGCCCGTTCACCCCCACCCCGGCGCCCGCGGTTCAATCCAGTGCTCCGTCCTGCCTGCCTGCCTGCCTTCGTTTCTGGTTGTTTCGGAGCAGCTTCGGCTGAGTAAAAGAGGCGAATAGTTATTATTCTCAGCCGAAGCTGCGGCGGGGTGGGGTGAATGGGCGCTTAGGAGCTGCACCGACAGGAAAAGCCACCCTGCCGGCTTCTTTGAAGCAGTTTCTTCCTGGGCTGGTGGAGGAGCGAGAGAGCGACTGAGAGAGGAACGAGGCGGGAGGAAACCGAAGCCCCTGAGCCGGAGAGCAGGACAGGCTTTGGTTGCTTCCTCCCTCCCCTTCTTTCATTTGTGTCCTTGATCCCTGATCCCAGCAGCATTCACCGAAGGCGAAGAAAGCTGCCATTTTTATTTTATTTTTATTTTCTTTGCGGCCCGGTACCAAATGATCCACGGACCGGAACCGGTCCGCGGCCCGGTGGTTGGGGACCCCTGCACTAGGACATCACGATCCTCTCACAGTTATCACTGTTAAGCCAGGGCTGCCTATTCTATCCTACATTTTTTGTCTTCCCTACCTAACTATAGTATCCTACCTAATTATAGTATCACTGAATTGTATCTCATTAGGTAGAGCCCAATGTCCAGGTTGGTCGAGATTCTTTTGAATCTTGAGCCTATGGCAATAACACCCCACCCACCCACCCCGCAAGTTTGGTATTGCCTGGAACTTTGATGAGTTCCCTTTTTATCCCCTCAACTAGATAATTTATGAAGATATTGAAGAGTACTGTTCCCAAAACAAATCTTGAGGTACCCCATTGTTAATTAGTAATGGTCTTCTATAATGCTAGAATACCAGGTGCTCTGATAAACAATGGAGCAAAAGTGATTTCTTCTTTGCTTCCTTGAAATATGCATCATATCGCCGTTGGGAATAAGGTCAGGAAGATGATCCTTTGATTTAATTCAGGAGCTTTTTGATAGGAATATTGGGAAACATATACTGGCAGAATATGCTTTTGTGGCCAAGATTTTTGACAATTGTTTCTGGGTCAAGAAAACAGAATTGTGGCCTCTAATCTTAAAGCCAGATTTATGGTTGGGGTCATCTATCACGTGACTTATTTGCTTTTAGGTTAGTATGATGTGGGGAAACAACCATTAGGTTAGTAAAAGAAGTTTATGCTTCTTTTTATGCTATGTTTATGCTATGATTATATGATAATCAAGTTACTATCATTGTATCAAGAATATGTAGTACATTAGCAGTATGTAAATGGAATAAATATCAAAGGCATTTTTAGACCAGCATCATATATTATATGGAATTTGGGGAACATTCCTGTCTGCCAAGGTAGGTAGACCAACTGAAAAGAATGTTTTGTCATGATAGTCATGTCAGATATGAAATATCCATTTATAAGAAAGTGAATTGAGGATGCACTAGGATACTCACTCCCCTACTAGAGTAGTTTTTTTGGATCAACAAGCATTGCTATAAATACATGTGTCTCAAGACTGATGCTTTGCTTGCAAAATGAATATTACTTATTTCGTTTATTACTTATTTCTTTAGGCACAATAGCCCATCTTAATCCTAACAATACAACAGTCCCTCCCTCTTATAAAAAATCTATGTAATAATAATCAAAGATAAAGGAAAATTAATTCATCAGATGCCATTCACATGATCAAAAGATTCACTAGAATACTCGTCAATTTGAGGCAATTTGTACCATCAAGGGAGACTGGGGTCTAGTACTGAGAAAAATGCCTGTTTTTTTAATTAAATAAACTTTTTTTAAAGTTAGGTGGGTGATAGGATCCAGCATTCAGTTGACTGTTTTCTACTCTCCACTAGGCTCAGGCCCTATGCAATGTATTGGGAACTCTTCCGAGATGAGTGTAGGTATGGCAATGCCTCTTCCTTTGTATCTTCCTGGGCCGGGACCCGGGATAACCCGGAGGAACTGCCTACCAGCTTCCCACAACCATGCCAATGACATCAGCCTCTGGAACATTCTTCGTAACAACATCGGCAAAGATCTCTCCAAGGTCTCCATGCCGGTGCAGTTGAATGAGCCACTCAACATGCTGCAACGCCTTTGTGAAGAATTGGAGTACACTGCCTTGCTGGATGCAGCCAGCTGCAGTTTGGACCCCTGTGAAAGATTGGTAATATGCATCTCCATACGTCAGGAGGGATGGACCATCTCTGGATGGCCAAGGGTTAGATCTAAGTTTGTCACATCAATGGGCAGGTCTGGGCTTTTGAAGGGCAGTTTGAGATAGATAAATATCTATAAATAAAAATATATCTTATAAGAAATACTTATATTTCTTATTTCAGCAGTTGATAGAATAATGTGTCTTGAGAATGTTCTGCCTGTTTGCAACGGTGCCTCCTTTTTGCAGGCATCCCTAATATTTTCTGCTTCTTTCCAACAGCTCTGCATAGCTGCCTTTGCTGTATCTGCCTATGCCTCTACCTACTATCGTGCTGGCAGCAAGCCATTCAACCCTGTGTTGGGAGAAACATATGAGTGTGTCCGTCCTGACAAGGGGTTTCGTTTCCTAAGTGAACAGGTAATTGGGCATAAGCAGCTGTTTCAGACAGGATCTCAAGTTTTCCAATGACTTTTACACTGTATGTACAAGATGGATCAGGGTTTTCTTCCAGCGATCTGTGGAAAAGGATTACAGCAAACAGAGAAATTTATAGGAAGGCAAATTTGGCTCTCTAGAGTAGAGAGTATAGAATGACAGTGGAGGAGGGAAATCACAGTTTTTAAAATCAAGACTAATAGGAAGAGAAATATGGTTGAGTGTGGGTAAAATTGAAGGACATTTTACTTCCAATCTCTGAATCAGAATAGAAGGGAACTTGGCATTATCTGAGGAATGACTTGGCAGCTGATTCATGGGAGAAAGAAAGTCTCCTTTTCCAAAGAAGAACATTTGCCTAAGAGACACACATTTTCAAGTCGTGGTATCTTACTGGGAGTGAAGTGGCTATGGAGAACATTGTGCATCTGTTGAGCTCTTCTACCAGTGTCTTTGAGAACCTGAACTGAGCCAGAACAAAAATGAACAAGCCATTAATCATTTCTACCCTGCTTTCTGCCTCAGATAACAGATGTCATTACATTGAAAATGACCCATAATGAATCAGTATCTGAATCCCCAGAACGGTACCAGTATATCCACACCTCCATCTTCAATCCCTTGGATATCTGCGTTTTTCCAAATTCACGTGTCCTCCGTATTACTTGTTTATCATGAGAAATAATAGTTTGGATCATGCCATCTTTCCTAACAGTGATTCTGAATGGTTAATCTCAGTGGTAATATGCTGTTACCTTTCTCTGATTACCTTTTTTAAAATTTCTAAATATGTAGAAGGTATTTAACATGCCATGCTTAATATTTTATCTTTGGAATAATGATATGGAATAATATTTTTAGAATATTTCAGGGTCTCGCCTTTATGGGCTTTTCTTCCAGATTACATTTGCAGTGGTATTTTTGAAGTCTTATCTACTATCTTTGAAAGAGCATTAACTTTCTTTTATTTTACTTCTAAAGATTTAGTAATGTCTTAGATACCTTGTTTTAATTCTCTTCCTCCCTTTAACCTTTATACAGGAAGATTAATTCTAAACATAGAGTAAAATAAAATGTTGGGTTTTTTTCTAGGAAGTTTTCCCAAGCGTTGGTGCAGCCTTCATCTAAGTTTAACTGATCTTTAAATAGATCCATATACACAGATGTTGAACTTTGTATTTCCTAGTCATTGTTTATGAAGCTATTACAGAATGAATGAATGAAGAATGAATGAATGAATGAATGAAGCTATCTTGAATTGTCAAGTAAAAACGGAGAACATGCAATAAAAGAAAACAATTGTAACAAGTCTTTCCATTATCGGCAAATCCTAAGGTTATCTGGGAATGATGGCAGTTACATTCTATTTCTTCTGAAGACTGCTGCAGTGGAAAAAATTGCAGGAAATCTACTTGCCCATATATTTTTTTGTCAACTTGGAATGCAGATTAGAATCAGAATATAAGTATGTATGCCAGTATGCCAATAAACTCACACCTCTGTCCGTTGAGACTTCTGTTTATTTTTATAATCTTTGAAAGAAAAATAATTGGAAAGTAGGGAACAATTTCCTTTCTAACAAATTAGTCTTTTATGTCTATCCATGGGCATTGTGGAAGTGGTTTTAAGAATAAGCAAGAATAGCCCTTCCATGCAGTCTATTTTGTGAGAGTGTTTATGATGCTCTGTGAATTTTAATACTTTATAATTAGTAAAATTAAATTAAAGTAAAAGCTATAATTTTGAAATATCTGTATGAACAACATCAATATTATTCAGATAGCCACAATGATTTAGACTTTTTTGTCCTCTTTTGTCTGTCCCACTCCAACTGCAGGTGAGCCATCATCCCCCTATCTCTGCCTGCCATGCAGAGTCTGAAAATTTCATTTTCTGGCAAGGTGAGGCAAAAAGCTTATTCACGGTTGGAAAATGGGTAGAATTTGTTCTAATTAAAATAGTATTGACTACTCTTTTGATTAAAACAAACAATAGTATTACTTGTCAACTTCTTTCCTAGAACTAGATCTGTACAAAGTCCAAGAGATTAATTTTATCTGTTTTTAAGAAATAACATCCCATATGATGGGAGTTGTAGCCTGAAACATCAGAATAGTGTCATATTGATCACACAGCTTATAAAATTGATTTGTTGGAAACACAATTGATCGGGAATTTTTGGATTGTTAGTCCCAGTAAGTTTGGTGAACCTCAGTTGTAGGCCCAATTGCAATAAACTACATACCCCGATTTAATTTTATGCAAATCCTAAAGTAATAGTTATTGTGACTTCATACTTCGTTTCTTTTTCCTTTGTTTAGATATGAAGTGGAAAAATAAGTTCTGGGGTAAATCCCTTGAGATAATTCCAGTTGGTACAGTGAATGTCCAGCTGCCCAGGTGAGCCACAAAGCCTGTTTGTTCCATCCTCCTTGATCCTTCTCTCACCCACATTACCCCACCCCCACCCCCCAAAAAACCCTGTCACTTCTGGCACCCATTTATGGTTTTTATTCTCCCTTTAAAAGGTTTGGGGATCACTATGAATGGAACAAGGTGACTTCTTGCATTCACAATATCCTGAGTGGACAGCGTTGGATTGAGCATTATGGTGAGGTGTTGATTCGAAACACGAGAGACAGCAGATACCACTGCAAGCTTACTTTCTGCAAAGTAAGTTCTAATATGGATCTGATCTGCCTCACTCCTGCCATATCCTGTTTTTCTTTGGTCTCTGCTTAACTCCTCTTTCTGGTTCTTCACCCTGTTTTTAAATTCAGGAATGTCAACTCTGAGGCTATTGAATATCAAGCTATAGTAGATTGTTTTTTTCCATCTGGCTGAATATTGTCTTCAGCCTTACTAGTTCTCTGGAATCTGAGATTGATCCATCTGGAAATGCTGTGAATTAAACTTAAACTTTAAATACAAAGCTGGTGCACTGTCACTGAGCTATGGCCTGTTCTCTCTGATGTAGAATTTTAAATACCCCTTCTGCCTTGATATATCTTCCTGTGTTTTGTTGTCCTGGTTTGTGGTACTTGCTTCCTTCTCCTTTAATTTCTTGACTGATACTCTTAATCAATATGATAATGCTTTCATTCTATACTCATCTCCTATGTTGTTTTTTTTGTAGTCATCAAGCTTCATCCTTTTCCTTTTTGTATTTGATTTCTCTCCTTTTGAGCCTCAGGTTTGTCCCTTTCTTTCCATCTTCATTGTATCTTCTCAGACATCTCCTTGGCTTCCCACCAGATGAACAGAAAGCTGGTAGGAAGCCTATCTACCTTAACTTCTCTTTTTGGCAGGCACGTTACTGGGGTTCCGGGGTCAATGAGGTGCAGGGTGCCATTCTCAGCCATAATGGCAAGGTTATCCATCGACTTTTCGGGAAGTGGCATGAAGGGTTGTATCGTGGCGTGCCTCCTGTTGGAAAGTGCCTCTGGAAGTCCAGTAAGAAATCAATTCTACTAAGGTTTTCTGAGCAGTGGGGGAGTATCAGCTGCTTATATAGGATTGTTTGTTTATCCATAGACCAGATTTTACCTAATTTAGCAAGCTTCAGATCAGTTTCACTAACAGTTTCTAGAATCCCCAGACTTCATAGGTTTGTGAGATATCTGCATTTTCAGCCCATTTGTACAATGCAGGATCCAGGGAAGTCAATCTTTAATGTGTTAGCATCTTATAAACCAAATTAACAGAATGGCAAAAAAATTAAATATGAATTAAATCTAATATAATCAGATGCACAATATATATCTTTTAAGTAACTTCATAACCTAGTATACACATTTGTATGTGCTTATCTTTGCAATTGTTTGGAAGTGTGTGCCATTCCTTTGTTGGGAAATGCCAAACAGGGTGAGGGGTATCTGTCAGATATGTTGTGATTTTCTTTTCTCTAATGTACTGCTTTGCATATGCTTTGGGTAAGACCCGCCCCCCCACCCCATTCCTAGTTCATAGTCTGTGCACTAGCTTAAGGGAGCCTATTTTAAACATATCAGTTAGAGAAATAAAGTCCATTTAAAAATTGTATTTACGGCCCATCTTTCTACATAGGTCTCAAATAAGTACAGTTGTTGTATCATTGATGTTCTCATGTTATGAGTTTTTGATCCTTTCCCCCCTTTTACATAGCCTACATATATCTTGTGCAAGGTATTTTCCTGCCCCCCCTCCCAGTGGTCAATATAATAATAAAAAAGGTGGCATCAGCTGTATATAGGTGTCATTGAGATGTCAATGTCATCAGTGGGGGATAATTGAAAATTATTTAGCAAATCATTTAAATACAAATTGGAGCAAGAAAGTAGTCCTGCAAACCCTTCTATGACGAGCATGGGATTAGTCAAATTTTATTCTTTTTGACATCACACTGTAAAGTAGACTCTAGATGAAGAGAGATTAAATCTGTTAATCTCTGTATCGGTGGAAACAATACTAAATTTAGGCCATGAAATTCCCTTTGGGAAGGAATCAAAGACAGTCTTTAAATCCATAAGGACTGATGTTTTAAGTTGCTTGGTAGCTTGAGACAAAAAAATAATCAAGTGTTGATGTGCCTCTACTAAACTAGCTTGCTCTGGGCACAGCATATCTTCAACTTCCAGTTTTTCCAGGAAAGTGGTTCTCCATTAAGATAACTAGTATATCATGTGCCAGAAACCAAGAATAGATTTCACGAGCACGTAATTGGAAGTAATTTATTCAAAATAATTGAAATTACTTTTTAGAAGTTGGTATGATAATTGCTAGAGACCATCATATTAGCATAAGTCTCATTGTTAATTTGACAGAATAAAACAGTTAAGGTGGGCAATCAAGTATTATTCAGAAGTTCTGGCATTACAGAATTAGAACCTGAGGCCTCCCCAGATTGCAGCTTTCAGATAATTGCTTTTAAACAGTGCAGTGGGAAAACACAGAAAAGACATGTAGTTGTTTTTATTCTATTTTTCAGTAATTGTGCTGCCCAGAGACATATATATGAGATGGGCAGTCTACACATTTACTAAATAAATAAGGATAAGTTAATACATGCTGTAGATACACAAACACTGCAGAGTGATCTTCCCATCTTGTACGTCATCAAAACAACAAAAGCATATTATGAAGCAATCTCTGCCTTCTCTGTACATTTGTGCAACATCACAATGCATGAACAAAAGGGACGGAGCTTGTAATGCAATACTGTCATTCCTTCTTCCCTCCCTTGGTATTTTCCAAACTACTCAAAAAATGGAGCCCCAATTAGTCATGATTGAGATAAATGTCTCACTAGATAGTATAAATAAAACAACATTTAGTTTAGGATCTTCCAAGTTTCTAGAACATTGGAGAAAGTAAACCTTTGGTTTCTTTAAATTGGGGAGAAAAAAGGGGTACTGTTGTTAGAACCAAGTCCTGCATTGAAATCTCCCATAAACAGACGGTAGCAAAGAGTCTGGTGTTCTGTTGTAGAATAAATGAGAGTATTCCACTGTCTAGTTAACTGGTCTCTAGTTCCGTCAAGAGAGGAGGAATATAAACATTTATTAAGAAATGAAATAAACCAAATTTAAGTGGGTAACTTAATTGTTGGTATTTGAATAACTAAATATTTATTTTAAAAATCAGCAGCAAAATCTTTTTATTCCTATTGAATCCACACAATGTATAAAAAACATTATCTGAATAAATACATTATAGCTATTAAAATTAATTTCATATTTCTCAAGATTTTTACGTGACATAATCATTATGAAATGAGTATGTTCAGTTTGAAGGAGTCTGGCATAATCACGAAAAAATTTTCAGGAAGCAAAACATTGAAAAAAAATGGTTGTCCAGTGTTATATCAGCACTTTTTTTATGACTGGTACTTCAATCACTTTGTACCACAAGCTAGACAATTTCCAATTGAAGGACTAGAAATATTACCTGAAAACAAGATAGCAGTCGTGAAGACTAAGAGATAGCAAGAAGAGGAAGAAAATGCCTAGAATAATACACGACTGATTTATAAATACTGTACAAACTGAGTGCAATTATCTAGCCAGCATAAAAAAATGGCCTTTAATATAAGCAACCAAAGAATGTTAAAAAAGATCCAGGATTTTAAACTTTGGAGCATATATTTGTAGAGATCTAGATTTTTAGCCTTTGTAGAAATATTCTGTTGTAATTAAATTTGCTTTTAGCAGTAAAATATCTTATTTCTTCAGATCATGTTCTTGGCTTCCTATAAAAATGGTATGATCCTGCAGAAAGGATTATTGGTGGACCTTGACATCAACAGGTTCTCCTTATTCTAGACCATGTTTCTGCTCATCCATCCATAGATAATTTATGCACAAAATATTGGAAACAACTTGACATATCCAATTCAGAGAGAGGGGAACATTTTCGCAAATAAGACTTCAAAGGAATTTTTATGAGATAAAGCGGTATTTTGTATTGGAGGAGAAATTTGATGAAGAAGTAGATGCAAAAGGTTTATTCTTACAATGAAATACTCTGCTGCAGCTTTGAAACCAGTAAAAAATCAATCATTGGCAAATGGCGAGAAGAAATTGCTTTACAGCATAGATGTAGACTTATAATTTGAAGTCAATGGCTAGCATTGAAGAAAGCTGTGAAAATGAAGCATAACTGTATCTTGAGTCTAGAGGATGATGAAAATGATCCTAGGTACAAGTAATAGCAAAGCGTGAGATTTTGAACACCCTAGGATAGGCAAGAAGCAAGTGAAAGTAGAAAGAGAAAGTAAAAACAGCCAAATTAAGTTTTGGTTTTCAGATCCTGTCTTGATTATAAGACAACTTTTATTGACTCTTCAGCTCATTCTGAAGTCCAGCCTCATCACTCCCACTTATACACTTTTGAGGAAATAATTCAGAAGCAGCATATTTCTAGAACTCAGTTAAAATTGGATACTTTCTTCAACTGGTTATCTAAGACAAGGGTCTCCAACTTTGGCAACTTTAAGCCTTCAACTCCCAGAATTCCCCGGGCAGCAAAGCTGGGAGTTGAACTCCTCCAGGCTTAAAATTGCCAAGGTTGGAGACCCCTGATCTAAAATAATCACTTGAACCCAGCACCCTTTTAATTATGAGTGCCGAGGAGCAAAACTGTCTTTTATCTCCAGCTTAGAATGTTGACAGTCATCACTATTAATTATGGCCATTTATAGATTCTTCTCTTTTCCCCATTATTACCCATATAGGATTAAGTGCTACTTTGCTAAGTCTTATTATGATTAAAATAAAATATTATTTTATACAGTAATCTCATGTGTGAGTATGAAATACCTCATTCCAATTTAGTGGGCGCTCAGCTTTAAGATATACTATTTTTTTAAATCAAGAAGTTATATCGTATTAGTCTTGTACATTTTTTGTGCCTTGTTGGTCATTGTGTATTATTTGGCTTTCCGATAATTTTCATTTTTGCTTCTCTATCTTTTGTGGGTTTTGTATCTTAGTCTCCTTTTCTTATAATTTCAGGAAGCCCTTATCCTAATTTTGGAGAAAAGCCTCAAATGAAGATTTTAATTCATCAATTATATAATATAACCAATACTGTTCAAATATTTATCCCCTTTTGAAAAAGATGGGCAGTTTAAAACTATAAACATAAATAAATAAAATATTGAAATAAATAAGTGTGATAAAGGACTATTTAGAATTTAAATCAAAATCAGGCTGAGAAGCACAGGAAAAACACAAATAAATGGAAATGATTGGAGAGCAAGAAATAAACTTTTCAAATTGGGGCAAGAACAAAATAAAATAATAAAATTTATTAAAGCAATGCTATGCCCAATTTTGATCAGGAAATAAGAATGTTTACTCCTATACTTTTTTCTTAACCAATTTTGGAAGAGCCAATCTCACTTTCATTTCAGACTTATTTCCAATACAGGTGTCAATTATTGTGGTGTCTCTAAGGAATATGAGTAGACCTAACACATTCCTTCCTGACCCAGTGATAGTTTATTAACAGGAATGTCTGTCTGCCTATCTGTATCTCTCTCTCTGTCTTCTAGATCTCATGCCTCGAGACCAAGAGAAGAATTATGGTTTCACTCAATTTGCACTGGAACTGAATGAACTAACTCCAGAGCTGAAACGCCTCCTTCCATCTACAGACACAAGGTTGAGGCCTGACCAACGGTAAGGGCCAGGAAGAGATTGATAGAAATTTTCCTTTATTTTCCCTTTTTTAAAAAGATGCATTAATATTATCCTACCTTTCCACTGATAAGGTACTCAAGGTAATTTACATTCTGGCAATTACAGAATTGCCAGCATCAATTATAAAATGGATACACAAACAAAGTAAGAATGAGCATTAAGACAACCCTTGAGTGACTTTAAAGGTGTGTGATAATCCCAATCTCCTGCATATTGTGTGAATTAAAAGCAGTGTCTCTGAATTTGATGGCTTCCTCCAGGTATCTGGAAGAGGGAAATGTGCAGGCTGCAGAGTCTCAAAAACGTCGGATTGAGCAGCTGCAGCGAGATCGGCGTCGTGTGATGGATGATAACAATATTTTCCACCAGGCACGCTTTTTCAGGTGCTTCCTTCTTTGCTTTAATTTGGGTTTCTTGGCCACAAGTGCAGCATAGCACCTACTTTTTGTTATTTTTCTTCCAAAAAACCGAATATGATGAAAACCGGTCTTAAAGTTTGAACATAATAGAGCCTCTACATGAAGACCATAACTAATAATGGTTGTACAGAAGGCCAGTCATGTGACCAACCCGATTTTATAACCTTTATTGTACAGAAGGCCAGTCATGTGACCAACCCGATTTTATAACCTTTATTCCAGTGGTTGTTAAGCAAATCACCATGGTCATTAAGCTAATCTGTGGTCATTAAGCAAACCAGTGGCTTGCTGTGGGCTCAGTTTTGCTGAATGTAAATGTCGGTTTTATTGGCAACACTCAGAAAACACAGTCATTATGACCCTGAGATGTTGCCAATGGCCATAAATGCAGCCCAGTTGCCTAAAGTGCAGTTATGATATCAAACGGAGAGGGGGCACTGTTGGAACTGGATCTTAAATAATCCCCAGATGGGTTCCATCAGAACCTCAAATGGTCATTAAGTGTCCAGTTGTATGCTGAGGACTATATGTAGTAGCTTTAGTGCTGGAATAAGTTCAGTTCCTTATTCTATTGGCTCAAAGGCCATTTTATATATGTCACATCAAAAGTTGCCCTCCAAAAAGGGTTTGGCCAGACTTGAAATGGGGTGAATGGGGAGATAGAGTGGTGTCTGCAAACTTAAGGCATCTGTTTTGCCCTTTAAGCTCCTTCTCCCCCCTCCCCTTCCAAAGAGATAGGGACGAGCTACATGTTTTTAATCTCTGAAAGGATATTTCTGACATAATGCTTTAAAAGGTTTTGTTTGCAAACTTATTCTGCAAACATAAGGGTATACAATGTCTAAAAAACTAATATATTTCAAATTGCATGAAAACATGGTCCTATGGATCACTTCATCAGATGCATGCAAAAACAATTTTATATTTGTAGGGGAGAGAAGTGTGGCTGGAATAATTGTCTAGAAATAAAGGCAACAAACACAATAGATTGCACTAGAGATAGAATCAAATTGTATCTAAACAAAGCAAAAACAGCCTGTAATCAAGGCCTTGTATAGCGATACCTTAATATGATTAGAAATCTGAAGACCCCAAATATTAAATATGTATAGCAAATCTGTGCTACTTCTATTCCATAACTCTGTCTTACGCATATTCACTGTGTAATTACATTCTAATATCAAAGAAAGTTCAATATCCAGAAAACTGTAATTTTCATTGTGAAAAAGAAGCAAATAAGCTCATCCTTAAAACTGCAAATATTGATTTTAAAACACGCGATCGGTACTTAAAAACCATTAAGTTGTGGTTAGGCAGAATTTCCTGTTGTAATCTTTTTTTCAATATTTTTTTTTCATCAGCTACATATACGGTGAGTTAAAGTTTGTTAACCTTCTAGTTCTCTAGCTCTGAGAGGATGTAAAAAGGAATGAAGACTATGTGGCCTTTAGAACTGGCTGGATTTGTAATTCACAGCATTCCTCACTCTGGATTTGTTGGGTAGAGATGAGTACATTATGTTTCTGTAGCAGATGCGGTGTTATAAAATTTCCCAATCCTGTTTTAAAGATTCTCCTTTTGCCAAGCCTAATTGCTGATGGGTTTCCTTCCTTTTTTTTTTTCCTGACAGAAGGCAAATGGATGCCAATGGCAAGGAATCTTGGGTAAGCAACAATACCTACTGGAAGCTGAGGACAGAGCCAGGATTCAGCAATATGGACAGTGCAGTCTTGTGGTAGCTGCTAGCATTTGCAAGAGCAGCGGTGCCTTCCCACCATCTCCCAAAGTGGAGGAATAGACAGCAAGGATCTCTTGCTAGATAAGCACAAAGTGATCAAGGCATGTAACCCTGGAATACCAGCAGCTTATGAAGGAAGGGGACACCGTCTCTTAGATGTTGTGCTATTCACTTCCAAAGCAGCACTCTTAAGAAAGACAACCCATGTCCACCTACCATGCTTGCACTGCTGCCTGCGGGTTAGGCAGACTAATGGACCCTTGGATTGTCACAAGTGAAGTTGGCATTATGAAGCACTTTAATCTCATTTGGATCTTGATGAGCAGAGCAGAAGTGATAAGGCTAGTCAATCAGATTGCTCCACCCAGCAGCAATGTATGCTGGAGGATACTATCCTGGGATAGGAGGCATTGGAGCAATTACTTGTTCGCATGAAGAAGTTAGGGGCATGAAGATTTGGGTCTTCTGGCTACTAGATCTTCTGGGGTGATTGTTTTCATACGTTTGTTTGTTTTTTAAATTGTACACCACATTCCTTCGAAAGGAGTTGGATGCTGTCTCAAGCTGTGTACCTTTGATGAAGTATGGCCCAATTAGGTTAGAAGTTCTGCCTCTGGAAGCAAATAGGATTTGCAACAACTGTCCGAAGAGAGCTCTTCTTAAGGCATTGGTGGAAATTTGACATCAATCGGAGTGATGTTTCCTCCATCCTTAAATGCCAGATTTTTGTTGTCTATGTGTTACCTCTGCCTGGGCAAAACCAGGATCTCTTCAGGCAGAATGCCTTAAGAAAGAATCTCTTGGGCTTTCCCCTTACTTATCCCACTGTTTTGTGTGATTTATCTTCCTTACTTACTCTTTAGCACAAGGTATGTTTCCCTTCTGCTCTGCTAGTTTCCTTAGCATTTGAAGCAATAATTTAAACGGAGGCCTGTGGAGGAGACATTTTAATACTTTCAAGTGAAAGAGTGTGGATTCCTCTAATAGCTCTTTGTAGCTCAGGGCAGGGTCTGTCAGAGGTTTGATTGTACTGAGTGAAGGGGAGACTGAGTATGACAGACATAGGACATTATGAAAATTGAAAGCAAGTATAGGCTGCTTGATAGAGTAGCTAGAGAAGAAACAAGTGTGTTTTCTTTTTCTCCTGTAGAAACAAAATAAAGCAAAACAGCAAGGGTATAGGATGATGTGAATTCTGGGCACCTGACTTTTGTTTCTAATGGACAGATCAAAGGAAGAAGGAAAAGATCTCTGCCTGTACCTACCTAGTTTTCAAGTCATTATACAACAATAGCCCAGGAGCCATACACATGAAACCACTGGGTACTTCACAGTTCTATAGTTCATTGAGCACTGGATGGACCACTACTCAGATTAGGATTTAGCTCAGTTTACTCACACTCTTATGATTATTTCTCTAGTTTATGCATTCTTTGTTTTATTCCCCATTCCTTATTCCAAAGCACTCCATAAATGGGGAAAGGTGACCGGAAATTATCACACGTTTATGATGCTGATATATTTGACCTGTGCCAGGCTGTGGGCCCAGGACCATCTCCTGTGACTTTATACTTTATATACATTGATCAGAGCTTTCTCAACATTAAAAAAATTGTACCTCCAACATTGTACTGCTCTCTACAGCATTAATGGAAAATTGCAGGACAAGGCAGGACAGCCAAAAGTTTACATAGCTTTATGGGTTTTTGTTTTTGCTGTTAAACTGAGTCTTTCTTCACAGATCATTAGGAAGGAAGGCTTTGTTTCTAGCACTGTGGGCTGTAGAATATCAATCACTGCTGATCTGTGTCTCTTGGTACAATTTTTGACATCTCTCTCTTGGCTTGTTTATTAACCCAGCATAACATTTATGTGTTTTTGAAAGGGATGGCATGACTCACTGAATTCCTGGAAAGTACTTTGACTTCCAAATTTGCTGTGAGATATTGTGGATTGGTGTGTTTGGGTAAAATTGTGTTGAGTGTTACACTAAGCTTAATAGGAAAAGACCTGGAAAAATTTATTTCCATGAGATTCCCATATTATGTTGGGGGCCAAGGAGCTCTTTTAGCTTGTAGGGTTCAATTTGGATCCTTTTATTTTGCTGTTTGATACAGTGATGTGATGACTGCTGCATGCAGGGAAGAATGTTGTTTTCCCTGTGACCTGCACTTAAAAAATTCAATCATACACAGTCGAGTAAATGTCCTCTGTGTGAGTCTGTCCCTCTCTGTGTGCTTGAGTGTCTTTAACGTTTTGTCTTTCCCAAGTGCAGATCAACCTGCTTTCATTTGCCTCTTCCGGCAGGTCCGGTCCTGAGTTTCTACTCCATCTTTTATGTTCATATTAATTGGCCTATGTCCTTGTACTGTAGCTTGAACAATCAATGGCATGTCTAATTAAAAAGAGTTTGGAAAGTTCTAGTGTGGGAGAGTCGTTTTTAAAATCTGAGGTGCTTATTTTCTAGTCTTTCAGACTAGATATTCTCTCATGAAAATCAGTTTAAAACAATAAGTATTTAGCAATCTTTCATTTTACAAGTAGAACTTTACTTAAAATCATAATTGAGCCTGGAATTATGGTCATAAATTGAAGCGGTACATGACTGGATTCAAAGTTACAGAGATTTGTATGATGATTGTTAAAGAAGCACCATGGTCATCAAGTGAATTCAATTTTCCCAGAGGTCACTTTTTGCCAGAAAACAAGTAAATGCCAGAGATGGGGAAAAAACATTGCATATCATGGTCCCATGATTACAGGATACTGCAAACAGCCATTAAGGCTGGTTGCCAAGTGCCCAAAATATAATCACATAACCGTGGTGTGTGTGCGTGTGTGTGTGTGTGTATGCAGCCATTATAATTTAGATCTTGGGAGGGTCCATCATAACTTCAAAGACTCATTAAGTGATCAATTGTAAATAGAGGACTATCTATAAATCATTTGAAAAAAAGGTGATTCAAATCACAGTGGAAACAATACTGTTTTTAGGATTGTTATCACAGTGGCTGTGACTTTTACAAGACTTTCATGGCTGCTTTGAAATTTTTGTGGGTGTGCACCAGGACAATCAGTGAATTGACTGAGCCTGCACATGTACAGTATAGTTACGAGTTACGAGAAGTTTCTACAAGGCAACCTTGTAAAAGACATGATTATGTCTTTTAAATATTTTTCACAGTCCTGGTATTTATAACAACGGGGGCAGTGAAATTGTTCTCTCCAGAAATTGTTGGATTCCAATTTCCATTATTCACCTCCAGTCACTCTGCTTAATAACAAAAGATGGATAATGTTAGAATTCAGCAACTATTAGAAGGGTAATAGAAATGATCAAAGTGCTTAACATGTTATTTTAGCATTCCTTATAGGCTCAGTACCAATTTTTCTGAGCAGAGCTGCCATATCTAGGCGTGATGTTGATGCAGCTCCTGAAAATATTTAGTCTCTACCTTCTAATTATGAATCCTATTTTTGTTATAGATTTTGCTAGAATAGTCCTACAAAGAGCATTAGAACTGGTATTCTTTAGATGTACACTGCTCAAAAAAAATAAACGGAACACAAAAATAAGACATCCTACATCTGACTGAATGAAATATTGTTATTAAATACTTTGTTCAAATTTAGCAACCCATGGAGGTCTGGATTTGGAGTTACACTCAAAATTAAAGTGGAAAAAAACACTACAGGCTGATCCAACTTTGATGTAATGTCCTTAAAACAAGTCAAAATGAGTCTCAGTAATGTGTGTGGCCTCCACGTGCCTGTATAACCTCCCTACAATGCCTGGGCATGCTCCTGATGAGGTGGTGGATGGTCTCCTGAGGGATCTCTCCCCACACCTGGACTAAAGCATCCCCCAACTCCTGGACAGTCTGGTGCAACATGGCGTTTGTGGATGGAGCGAGACATGATGTCCCAGAAGTGCTCAATTGGATTCAGGTCTGGGGAACGGGCGGGCCAGTCCATAGCATCAATGCCTTCGTCTTGCAGGAAATGCTGACACACTCCAGCCACATGAGGTCTAGCATTGTCTTGCATTAGGAGAAACCCAGGGCCAACCACACCAGCATACGGTCTCACAAGGGGTCTGAGGATCTCATCTCGGTACCTAATGGCAGTCAGGCTACCTCTGGTGAGCACATGGAGGGCTGTGCGGACCCCTAAAGAAATGCCATCCCACACCATTACTGATCCATTGCCAAACCAGTCATGCTGGAGGATGTTGCAGGCAGCAGAACATTCTCAACGGCGTCTCCAGACCCTGTCACATCTGTCACATGTGCTCAGTGTGAATCTGCTTTCATCTGTGAAGAGCACAGGGCGCCAGTGGTGAATTTGCCAATCTTGGTGTTCTCTGGCAAATGCCAAACGTTCTGCACGGTGTTGGGTTGTAAGCACAACCCCCACCTGTGGGCATTGGGCCCTCATACCACCCCCATGGAGTCTATTTCTGACCGTTTGACCAGCCACATGCACATTTGTGGCCCGCTGGAGGTCATTTTGCAGCGCTCTGGCAGTGCTCCTCCTGTCCCTCGCACAAAGGCGGAGGTAGCGGTCCTGATGCTGGGTTGTTGCCCTCCTATGGCCTCCTCCATGTCTCCTGATGTACTGGCCTATCTCCTGGTAGCGCCTCTATGCTCTGGACACTAGGCTGACAGACACAGCAAACCTTCTTGCCACAGCTCGCATTGATGTGCCATCCTGGATGAGCTGCACTACCTGAGCCACTTGTGTGGGTTGTAGACTCCGTCTCATTCTACCACTAGAGTGAAAGCACCGCCAGCATTCAAAAGTGACCCAACCATCAGCCAGAAAGCATAGGAACTGAGGAGTGGTCCGTGGTCACCACCTGCAGAACCACTCCTTTATTGGGGATGTCTTGCTAACTGCCTATGCTTTCCACCTGTTGTTTATTCCATTTGCACAACAGCATGTGAAATTGATTGTCAATCAGTGTTGCTACCTAAGTGGACAGTTTGATTTCACAGAAGTGTGATCGACTTGGGAGTTACATTGTGTTGTTTAAGTGTTCCCTTTATTTTTTTGAGTGGTGTATTTTGACAGATTAGGAAATAATTGTATTTTGCCTCAGTACTGTAATCTAGGAAAATCTAATATTTTTATCTTTATGTTGCCTTATCTTTATCTTCCTTATGTTGGAAGTAAGAAATGTACTAGGCCTGGGGAAATAGCTTGCATGAGGAAATTGATGAATCCCTAATGTTATTATAGTGAAACCCAGCATTTGCTTATCAGTGGCCCAGTCCCTTAGTTAGTCTCTTAGTTGCTATGAGACTATTTTCATTTGCAAACATTCCCCAAGATTAGAAAAATCAAATGGTTGGGTGTGTGCGAAAATGCCTTATCTTCTGCTCAACAATATAATATGGCTTAATATGGTGTCCTAGTTCACATAATGTGGCAGTACTATGGTTGGATTCTTCAAACATATTAAGCCACTCAACTGGTTTTAGTCTAATGTGCAAATCCAATTACTGTGTGCCCCACTGCAAAGACCAACACCAGAACCTACGTTTGGACCTAAAATAAAAAATACTTTTGGAGTCTGCATACTTATCCTGTCCAGTATTATTAAATGTAATCCCAGCATTTTAACTCCAAAGCCAGCACCTTGATTGATTTCATGTACTATTTAATGATTAGTTATGATTTTGGTCTAGACAGTTGGTGATAAGGGTGCCATGTTTGAATCACAGCCTATTGAGGGAGATTTTGAACTAGGATTTCCTCTTAACGGCCTAATTTGTTGACGGCCATTTATATGTCATGCAGCACAGAATAAGCATCCACCTTTTAGTCTAGAGCAGGGATAGTCAACCTTTTTTTACCTACTACCCACTTTTGTATCTCTGTTAGTAGTAAATTTTTCTCTAATCGCCCACCAATTCCACAGTAATGGTGATTTATAAAGTAGGGGACAAAACCCCTATCGCCCACCATGAAAGCTGGAACGCCCACTAGTGGGCAGTAGGGACCAGGTTGACTACCACTGGTCTAGTGTATGATTTATTTATGGATTCATTATGCTGTATGAACTCTCCCCCATTTACTGTAAACAAGTACGTTGTATAAAGTATGAATAAAAATCAGCTGAAGGGGGAATCATGGTCATGTAAGCCATATTTATAGTCTCACATGTTCAGGCCAAATATTTTATCTTCCCTCCTTTCCTAGACTGCTGAGAAAGAGTACACATAGTATAAAGGGATTCGTGGTGCCTCTTGGTACAATTATTTCCTGATCCAAATAGAAGAAATGTGAGTTCATAAGTCACTTCAGTTCTGTTGCAAAGAATTGGGCTGAATCTGTGGGGTCACCAAGAACTGAATTCAGCTTGAAGGATGTTTTAGCTCTTAAAAGCTCCTTATAGCCTCTGAAAGACCAACAGGCTCATTTTTTAAATCATGTCTCTGAAAAATGCCCATACCATCCCAGTAGAATACCATGTATGTGGTGATTTGAATGCCATCTCTGAAGTACAACTGCTTTCAGATATTTTGCTGTCTGAGGACAACACAGTCCATGTATATGCAGACACATGAGCACCTGTTCAGAAGCAGATCAGGTAGGCCGGTGAATTTTCCTCCCAACAGTGGTCCAAGACAACTCAGAGGAGCAACATTCATTGTGTAAATGTGGTTCAACCTCTTCCATTTAATAATTGCTGATCCCAACCTCCCTGCAAGGTGGGTTGTTGTGATCATTTCTGTCTCAGTGAGGATATGGCCAAACCGAATACATATCGAATTACTATCATGGTGGCGTTCCCAAGAAATAAAAAAAACTTACATACATATTCACATGGTACACACTCCAATGTGCGACAGTTTATTTAAAGAAATTCTTAAGCCCAAAAACAAATCTCACAGAGCTTGTACACTACTTTCAATAAATATTTGCTACCATAAAGATTTTTGTTGTCCTGAAAAATAAAATTAGAAAAGAGAACTTCAAAACACCACAAAGATCATTTTCTCTTTTACACCTACATCTTTTTTGTTATCTTTAAGAGTGTAAACAGCTGAATCTGACCACCATCACCATTCCAAGGAGATTCAGTAGAAGTTAGTGGGCCAACAAGAGACTTTAAAAGGGGAGTGTCACTTTTGATTATCTAGCATAATTAAATTACCAAATGACCATCAAGTGTTTCCAGGATCAGGGCTTATAAATTACTAACAAGATTTGTTGGGGAGGGGAAATCTTTCTAAAGGAACAGGTTGAAATATAAAAATACAACCTCTCTCTGCCTCTGCCCATTGTCCATAAAGCTAATTATTTTATGTGGGGCAACCCACTGGGATATTTTTCTATATTTAAAAGGATTCAGGGATACCATGCATAGGACAATGGCCTGAGTGTTGACAACATTTTTTGCCTTTGGCTTTG